CTGCCCATCCCTGCCCGCGTCCAGGCAAGCCTGCGGGATCCGCTCTGGGCAGGGTAGCAGCAGGAGCAGGGCCGTGTTGCAGGCAGAAGGGCTGTTTGTCCTTAGTGTTGGGGGATTTTCTCCCCTGGCTCCTGTCACATCCCTGCTCCCCACGGCCCTGGGGGGCTCAGGGATGGCTCGCAGGCAGCTGCAGCAGCTCAGAAGCTGGCAGGTGCTTTCCCCACCGCTGCCCTTCGCAAATGCCCTTGCTGCCGGCACTCTCGGGAGCATCTTGGTCCCTCCAGCCACAGGGTCCCTCGCCAGCTACGTGGTAACCAGAGCTGAGACGCAGAAATGCTCCGACTTCTGGATTTACCTAGAGACAGGCAAGACCCCACAGGAGCTCGCCATGGCTGGTAGGGTGTCTCAGCCTGCAGGTACGTTCACATCTCTCCCTGCTGCTTTCCCTGGGCTTTGTCCTGCCTGGTTCTTCCCTGCTGCAACAATTTGCTGTTCCTGCCTCATAATTAAGCTGGCGACTGTGTTATTGTCAAAATCCCCATATAAGTCCCACACTGGCATCCCGCAGCCAAGGGATGGGAGGAGGCGCCTGGGGTGGCAGCAGTGCTAGGGTGGCCAGAGCTCCCTGCATGGCTCCCGTGTCCCTCCATGCTCTGGGCTCACCATCTGCGCTGCAGGTACCTGAGCAGGGCTGGCGGCATGGGTGGGAGCGCTCGCTTCTGCCTGCTGCCCTGTCTGCTTTGTGGATTCACGAGAGCCAGCGTGAAGGGCTTGTTTGCTGGAAGAGGAAGAAGAGGGTAGGGGATGGAGGGAAGCAGTAAACCCCTCCACACCTCGGTTGCTCTGTGCGGTGGGCAGAGCTGGAGTGGCACCAGGACAACTGCTGCTGGGCGGTTCCCACGGCTGCTTGCTGCTTTCTGCCACTGGTACCTTGAGCTCCTAAAGCTGGGCCTAGCTGAAAAGGCTTTAAACGCTTCACCAGGGCTCTTCGTTCTCTGCCCACCCCTGGCAAACAGACCGGGATACTTAGGGGTCCAGAGAGCTTGTTCTTTTGTTGCAGAAAATCTGCCCAGTCCAGAGGACAGAGAGAGCGCGGCACTGCCAGTGAGGAGGAACAAGTACGGGGACCTTGTGGAGTAGCCAGCAGAGCACAGCGCGCCATGCCCGTGTCCTGCTTCACCCCTTCCTGCCTACCCAGCCTGCCTGTGCCTGTGCTGCCTGCAAGACTGGTGGGCTCTGTGGCACTGCCCGAGAGCTTGGATCAGTCGGTCCGAGGTGGTGGATTCCTGCTTCCCAGGTGGCCTGTGAACATCGCACATGAGGGGTACAATAAAAGTTGAGAGCTGAAAGCACACATTGTGGACAATGCGAAGGCTGGTAATGGGACAGGAAGAGCTGGGGTGCGGGTGGTAAATATCACCCTGAGGCAGCCTTTGCAGTAAATGTTGGAGCAGAGAGCTCCAGTCCCTCTGAGGCCATGGCACCCACAATCTGACAGCACAGTGCTGTGAAGTGGCTGCAGGCACGGACAGGTCTGGGATAAGCTGTGAGGAGGAGAGCTGTTGCTCTGTGCTCTCTGTTTCTTGAGCCTAGCCGGTCACAGTGTCCCTGCCGCCATAGCAGCAAAGCTTTTCTTGCCTGCCTGAATGGGGCTGAGCTGAGCCCTGCAGCTGCATGGCCTCTGGGGGTGTCCTCTCTGCCCCCGCAAAGGGGGTGCATGCGTGCCCAGAGCCCCTCCGTGCGGTGCCCGCCGTGCTCCTGGGGCATGTCACCCAGTCCCAGACTCTCCATCCAGATCCGTAACCAACCAGCAAAGGAATGGTACTGTCTTGAATCCCACGCATCCAGAGAGGCACGTGGGAATATTAAGAAACCTCTTTTACTTAAGTTTTTCCTAATAGCAAACTCCAAGTCATGACTAGGGCAAACCAGCTGCTCTTGGTGGATGTCCAGCTCTGATTCAGTTGCAGCTGAATTTCTTTGAAGGGGAAACCCAGCCTGGGTTCTGGAAGCTAGCTGGTTTCTTAGAGCAGAGCAGCAGCGTTTCAGCTTCATAGACCAGAAATGCCTCCTTCCATGTCAGAGCTGGAGACAGTCCCCAAGCCTCACCATGGGAGGGAGTCCCTGTGCTGGGGAGATGAGGGGCCTAGGGAGGAAACTGGGTTTGGGGGCTCAGAACATCATCCGAACTGGCATCACTCTTGGTCTGTGTAGAGAGTTGGGGAGCAGCCACCAGAACAGCTAAAAGCAAAGTGGCTGTGGGGAATGGGTGGGTTAAGCCAAGCACAGCATACCAGGAGCTCGGCCAGAGCAGGGAGCGGAGCTCGTGCTGCCTGCAAGAGCAAGGAGGGCAGCGAGAAACTGCAACTCTCGCTAAAGCTGCTCCTCTCCTGGGGCGTGCAGAGGAACATGGCGGGGCAGGAGGCTCTTTCCAGATGGACTTGACGAGTCAGGACTGGCCCCGCACAGCTGCCCGGCGGCTGGATGCATGCCGTGGTGGCTCTGAGCTGCCAGCAACTGCACGAACAAATTGCCAATCCTGTGGGTTGCTCTCATGCCCTGCTTGGGTACCAGACCCAGTCCCCCGGGAGCAGAGGCTCCCTACATGTTTTCCTTGCGTGGAGGCTCTGGCTGTGAGCACAGCAGTGAATGCATGGGGCAGAGTCAGCTTGAGCACTGCCTGCTCACGCCTTTGGGGTGATTGGACCTCTAGCGCTTGGGAAACCTCAACTTTGCAACCGTGGCTGGTTGAAATTCTTCCACCTCCAGGTGGGCCTGAGTCTGGAGTGAGGTTCCAAGCCCACCTTGGTCCATCTTGGGGGGGGTTCTCCAGGCTGGTGAAGCATACAAAGCCATGATGGTGTCTCAGCACTGGGCAGGCTGCAGGGGATTGAGACCTTCAGGCAGAGCCTGACCTGGGGCTGTGTCTGAGTAGACCCCATAAGTGGCTCTACCCCTGTGGGACAGCCAGGCTTGATCAGCCTGTTGCTGATCAAGAACCACAGAGCCATAAGAGTGGTTACAAAGATTTATTTCTGATTATAAAAAAAACAACCAAACAAAACCAAACCTTCTGCATGTTTGCATGTCCCTGTTCTTACTCAATTGGAAAGGAAGGCGCATCCTCCCAGCTGCCTGGCGCGGGGCAATGCAGGGCTCAAATCTTAAAGCAGCGCAAAGCCCCACTCCTGCAGCGAGCCCATCACCTCTGCGCTGGCACAGCCATGCACCAGCGAGCCATGGGGACTTTTTGTGCCATTGCCGGGGGGGACGGAGGAGGCTCTGGCAGTGGCAAAGGCAAGTCTGGCTTAGGAACCACAGGGATGGGGAAGGCACCATGTCTGGTTGCTGAAGCGGGACCTGGGAAGCTGCCTGCTCCCCACGTCTGGTTGTTGCTAAGCCCCTACCCGAAGCCCCTGTGCTGAGGCTGGTGGACGTCCAGGCCAAGATCTGGCCCTCAGGAAGGTCAGTGGGGTTTGTGCATTGGCCAGAAAGACAGCATGGACTCTGGGTGATGCCCAGAGCTCCCCGGGAGGCAGCGCTGATGCTCCAGGGACAGGCTAGAGAGGTCAGCTATAAGGACTAGCATAAGTAATACTCCCCACCCACCCCATGCACGTGAGAATAAATCGTGCTGTTGTCTGGACTTACTGGCCCAGTCCAGCCCAGGTCTTGTGGCAGAAAGATGTCCCAGGTCTGAACGTCCAAATCCCGACCCTGCTCCAGGGTCCATCCCTGAGGAGCACTGGGAAACCCTTAAGCCATTCTCCTCTGCAGGGCCAGCAGTCCTCTTCTGTCCTCCCATTTTCTGCAGCTTGAAAACAAGGGGAGGGCAAAAAGGGACAGCTTTCCTTCTGGGACAGGCGTCAGGTATTGGAGGAGGACATCTCCGAGCACTTGCCGCATCCCAAGTGTTCAGGCCACAGAGACTCCAGCAGGAAGGATGGTGCTGGGTCCTGCAGGCAAGGCCCACCCTGTCTCTGCTGCTAGATTGCGCTAGATTTGCTGCGCCGGAGCAGGCAGACGGCAGTCACCAGAGACGTCAGGGTGGTGACCACAAAGAGCAGGATGAGGATGACCCAGTAGTTGTACAACATGCTTTTGTGGGAAGAGGGCTTCTCTGCCGGGATCATGTTGGTGAGGTTCAGCATGTAGCCCAGGGCCCAGCCAATGGAGGTTTCTCCTGCCTGTGGAAACAGCAGGGCATGGTCACCACCCCAGTCAACACAGCTCCATGGGCCTCAGGAGACCTTCCAGGGACCACCTCAGTGTCAGCCCAATGGAGGAGAGGAGTGTGGAGGAGTGCACAGGACCCTGAGCCCTTGCTCGCCCATGGGTCCAGCCAGCCCAGGGACAAAGCAGTGACCATCCTGTGCTGAGCTGGGCTCATCCAATGGGAGCAGGATCTCGTCCACTCAGGCCAGTCCTGATCTTGCTGCCCATCCCATGGCTTGTGCAGGTGAGGGCACTTGGCAAAGGTGCGATCCTGTTCTGAGACAGCTTCCCAACAAGCCTGAACAAAGAGTTGTTTTAGATGGCTGGTGTCTTGAGGGCCAAGGAAGGACTGGAGGACCTGACTCCATGACCACCCTATAGTCAGCTCAGCTCATTTTTTTTCCATCTCCCAGAAGATCTATCCAAAACCTGGAAGTCCCACCCTGCCCCTGTTCTCCGAGATCTTCCCTCACATTGCTTGGCTCTTTCTTGGTGTGGGACCATGTCTCCTGTAGGTCTTTTTGGCCTAACTCCAAACAGATACCATGGGATGGGTATGTGCTCTGGTGTTACCCACCTTCTTCTGGAAGGCGATGTTCGGGAAGGAATGGTTGTTGAAGTTGTAGCCTTTGGTGGTGAGCAAATAAATGAACGTGCTGACAGCGCAGTAATCCGACAGCCTCTTCTCCAGATTGGGGGCTTTCTGGAGCAGCTGGGTGGGATGCATCGAGGGACAAAGAAAAGGGGTCAAGCCAGCAGGGTCCAGGCTTTGTTTCTGTGGCCTGAAGCTCTGGGTGGCCAAGGCGCTGCCCATACTCACCTGAGCCTCTCCTGGTCCCGTGTGGGAGCTGTCACCCACCCTTCCCCAACTCCATGGGTGCCAGGACACCCAGCCCCCTCCAAGGGCTGCTCTCAGAGCCCAGGTGATGCCCCACATGAAGCAGCCCTCCCCTCCCCGCCATGCCTGAGGAGCCCACCTCACTCCAGCTGGTGGCACAAATGGTCTTGGCAGCATCCTTCAGGTCACTGGGCAAGTGCACAGGTCTCCCCATCACTGTCTGGATGAAGTCAACCGTGTAGAAGAAGGCAGAGAAGGCCTGACGGAGGAAAGGAGGCAGCTGTGGGACGGGCTGGGAGCAAACCCTCTCACCACGAACAACCACTCTGACCAGTGTGGTGGGCACAAGCAACCTCCCTTGCAGAGCTGGGTGACTGGCTTTGCCGCCGCATGATGCCGGGGGGCTAGGGACACCTGCCCACCCAGCCGCCA